CCCGATTATATTTTGAATATCTAATTTGTTAAATAGAATAGAAAACAAGTCGTTTTCAGGGTTGTCCAGTACTTTTCCTTTTTTTTTTTTTTCATAAAAGCAGACGACGATAGCGACAAAGACAACGACAACTTTGTTCTCCTACTTATGATTTTTTTACTTTTCTTTTTTTTTTTTTTTAAAAAAATTTTACGATGATAAATTTAATTAATAACGGTTTTTCATTAAACGTAATTATAAAATTTAATAATAATAATAATAATAATAATAGTAATATTGAGTCGGGCGTTAAAAAATTCCAACCGTTAAAATAAAAAATTAAAATTTTTTTTTTTTAAAAAGTTTTTTATAAACCTCTCTATAATTTTGCATAACGATTTCATTTATTTATTATCATTATTATTATTATTAGTATTATTAGTACTTTTTAGCAAAAAAAAAGTAAAATGAGGGTAATTTAACAAAAAAGAAAAAGAAAAAAAAGAAAAAGGAAGAAAAGAAGAAAGACCACCTTCTAATGTCATACTTATATGTATACGTATACGTGTTTTCATTATATTTTGTTTATGAAAAGGTGAAAGACATTTGACATTTTTGTTTAAAAAATAAAATAAAGAAGAAAGAGAGAGAGAGAGAGAGAAAAGAAACAAACAGATACACACAAAAGTTAATAATGTATAAAAAAAAAAAAGAAAGAAAAAAGGGAAAAAAAAAAAAAATAATAATGCTAAGGAGCCCCGCGGGAGGCTTGTCGCCACCACATTAACTTTTGAATGATCACTGCCACCTGAACCCCCATGTTACACTATTTATAAATAATCGCAAAAGGTGTTCCTATTCTAAAACAGGACAGGGTGAAAAAAAAAAAAAAAAATTCTTTTACTAATAATACGATTGTCAATGGTAAAAAAGGAATGAATAGATGAAGAAGGGATGAAAGGAAAAGAGGAAGAGAGAGGGGGGAAAGGTGATGAAAAAAAAAAAGATTTACGATTTTTAGTAAAAAAAAAAAAAAAAACAAAATCTAAATTAAGTATCGTTCAATAAAAAAAAAAAAAATTTCCCAATTGAGTAATAAATTTGTTTGATAAGTTTTTTCTTTTTTTTTGCCCTTCCTTCTTCTGAACACTTCTCTGTTTGTTGTTTGTTGTTTGCCTTATGACAAGGTGTGCCCATTTGACGACCTTTTTAACTTCCCTAATGGTGACAAACTTAAAGAAAAAAGTTTTTTTTTTTTTTTTTTTTTTTTAATTGATGATTAGTGGTAGACCCCACACAAATCTCATCTTCTTCTTTTTTTTTACTTAATTTGTTGATAATTTTAACAACAACAACATTTCTCCAGTAGAAAGAAAAAAAATGATTGTTGGAATTTGAACAATAAAAATAATAATAATAATAATAAAATTTTTGTTTAACTAATGACACCACGGTAACTCTTATTATTTTTGTGTTATGTTCTATGACATCAAAAAAAAAATTTCCCGATGACGAATTAATAAAAAACGTGTATGAATGAATTAATGATTGATTGATTGATCGAATGAAACGTTTCATCATAAAATAAATTTTTTTTTTTAACAAACGTAAAATAATAATAATAATAATTCGTCATGTTTTTTTATCGATGATGACATTCGAAAATTTTTTTTTCCTTCTTCTTCTTCGTTTGTTTCATATTTTTTTTTTGTGTGCAATTATAAAGATTTAGTTTTTGAAAAATGATTGTTATGACCTTAAAATAAAATTTGCACTATAATTAACTATAAAACTATAAATTTATTAAATTCATTTTAATTCCCGCCATGATGTAAAAACATTATGACGTCATCAAAATCCGCGATACAAACGTATAAAATGGTTGCATGTTGTTTTACGTTAATTAATAACGATACTCGTTATCGATAATTATCGAAAATAAAAAAATTGATGACGATGTAAATTTTTACAGTGGCAGCAGACAAACGTGTAGAAATTTGTAATAATAATAAGGGCCGTTTAAAAATTTAAAAAAAAGTTTAACGATTTGCATTTTCAAATATTTTTTTGCGTTAAAAAAAATTCCAAAAAAAAAAAAAATGTCGTTATTGTCGTTATTGTTGTCGTTGTTGTTATCGTTATTGTCGTTGTTGTTGTTTTTGTTGTTGTTGTTGTTGTTGTGTGTTACAATAAAAAATGAAACGACATTGAAAATGATGAAATAATTAATGATGACAAGTTTTGTAAATTTAAACAGTAGAAAAATTCACTCACCCTCCTCCACCATTAAAGTGCTACTACCACCAAAAAAGTCTCCTAACGGTTTTATTTAACAAAACAAAGTACCTGAAATTTAAGGTTTTTTATTATTATCATTATTATTCATTTAAATACGCATTAGTTAAAGAAAAAGAAAAAAAAAGAAAATGTATTCACGGGGAGTTATTAACATTTAGCGGTTATATATTTACAATTTGTTTCGTTTGTCACGTCATTTTTCTTTGCATAATTAACAAAAAATTTTCACAAAAAAAAAAGAAAAATAAAAAAGAAAAAAAAATCAGAAGTTAATTTTTGCTTTCACTGTATGTCCTGAAAGGCCCACACCTGGCGCCCCCCTGCTGAGTCATTGCCCTTTTATAACATTGGCTCCATCCAACAAGAGTGATGAAGGATCATCTTCGCCGCGGGGCCTCCCTTCAAAACGTTGTAAACAGGTAACCCCCGAGAGGTGTTGAGAAAATTTTAAAAAAAATTGATATCTTTACTTTTCTTATTATCATATTCGGAGACACCATTTTATGTCGGTATACACTTCTTTTTTCTCTTCCAGGTTCATCATACACTTGATCCCCCTTCTCCCCCCTCCCTCTCCCCCTCCTCCTTCGGGACAAAGTTTCGGTATTTCTTTGATCTTTATTTTACCTCCGTCACTTTCTACAATCCTTTCTTTATTTTTTGTTTTCCGTATCCCTTGAAAAAAATTTTTCCCCCCAAATAATTCCTTACGATATCTCCCCGAAATTTTAAATATGGCGATTTGGAAAATTTTTCATTTAAAAAAAAAATATTTAAAACTAAATAAGCAATTATTTGTAGTCCCAGACCACCATTCTTAAACGAAAAAAAATTGGGAAAAATTTTTTTCAAGCCCGAAGGAAATTTATTTTTTACATATAATAAATGCACTAATACCAACATAACAGCAATAAATATTTTAAAAAAAAAAATTATCCAACGTAAAAAAAATTCTAATTTATCAATATGATTGCATATATTTAAAACTTTTTTTTTCCGCTTAAGGGGGCCATTTTGATGACCTTGAAAATCACCTTTTTTACATATAAGTATAAAAATATACGACGACGAATTTATTTCCGTTTGTTGTGGTCTTTATCGTTATTTCTTTAAAACCTTTTCGGATATTTTTTTAACATCATCATCATCATTATTTAAATAATAAAAAATAAATAAATTCGTTTATGGTTTGTTATTAATAAAAAAAAGATTTCGAATTAATAACTTTATTTAACGACTCGTTAATGGTGATTGAATCATCATAATAATATCTATAATTCATACTCGTTTGTCGCACAATATTTAAAACAATTTTACGATCTTTTATTTCCTTTTTTTATTTAAAAAAAAAAAAAAATTTCCCGCTTTTTTTTTATTGTTTTTCAATTAAAATTATTTTTACATAAAACTTATATATACGATAATAATAAATTTTATGAGAGAGTAATAAATTTTAAAAAAAATGAAAGTTTTGAAAACAAAAGAAAAGAGCGTACAACCGGTTTGTTTACAAATATGGCGGGTGGAAAATTTAAATTTTCATACGGGCAACAAGACGAAAAATAAATTTTTAAATTGAAAATTAACATCGTTGTACTTTTTCATTGTTTTACGTTTTGTTATGTCATTTTTAAAAAAAAAATTCGATCGGGTTTAAAAATAATAATAATAATAATAAAATGTGGGCGAATGAAGAAACGGTTAAATAAAAAAAAAATACCTAAGTAATGGAGAGTATCAAGAGGGAGAGAGAGAGAGAGAAAGGAAAGAGATTGGAATCTCTGAAAGAAGACAAATGGCGACGCGAGGAAGAAGCTTTAAAAAACTGTCTTCTTTCAACCGAGTGATGATGAGTTATAGATATTGTGTGTTCTTACAAAATCCTCCCCCCTTACCCCCCTTTTCACCTCCCCTCCCACTTCCTTCCTCTTCCCTTTCCGGGTCGTAAGGCCCCCGATAATTACATCATCGAAGAATGATACCCGAACCTCTTGATATAAAACTAAACGTATATATATAAATGGATTGAAATTCGTGGCACGAACAAGTTTTTCTTACGTTTCAAATGCCCCGATGAATATTTATTATTATTTTTTTTACACTCACCATTACCATTATTTTATTTAAAATAAAAAAAAAAAAACTTCGGACATCGTGCCTTTAAAAACAATTTTTCCACGCCATCTTTTTTTTTTGTTTTCCAGCGAGCAAAAAAAAAATAATAATAATAAGTTTTTCTTTCTATCATATCGGATCGTTTTCGTTTAATATTCGCGTTTTTTTTATTTATTTACAAATGTTTTTCTAATGCCACGATCATTATTAAAAATACCAGCTGAAAATAAATAATTTTTACAAAAAAAAAAAAAAAATATTAACGATTTAAATTACCTGAGATTTCACAATGTGGGGGGAAACGTTTATGTTAAACCGGAAGTTCTTTGGAAAGAATTCAAAAAAAAAACATTTAGACATATAATCGAGGGAAATCTCGGTCGGGAGTCTCGTGTAATTAATTTAACATATGAATTTATCGTTACTGGCATATACTATTTCATTATCCTTTTTTTCAATTTAACAAAAGAACCGAAACCTTTTTTTTTTTTCGTAACAAACGTATCTTTTTTTTGGGGGGGAGAAGGGGGAGAGGGGAGAGGGAACGAAAAAATTTTTTTTTTAAACGGTTTTCCCTATAAATTTTTTTTTTTTTTTTTTAATTTCAGGATGTCGAGAAACGGCATTCATATATGCAATAACAAGCGCGGCAGTTACACACGCTGTCGCGAGAGCCTGCAGCGAAGGTGCCATAAAATCATGTACTTGCGATTACAGTCATCAGGGTCGAGGACCGTTACCGACAAGGATAGCACATCATCAAGCTCGAGGTCCTACGAATACTCTGCCGGGAGTTAGGGATTGGGAATGGGGAGGTTGTTCCGATAACATAGGATTCGGTTTTAAATTTTCTAGAGCGTTTGTAGACACCGGAGAAAAGGGAAGAAATTTAAGAGAGAAGATGAATCTTCACAACAATGAAGCTGGAAGAGTGGTGAGTTATTTTCTTTGTCTGTATTCTTACAAAAAAATTTTTTTTTTTTTTAATTATGACAACGCAGCATATAAAATGATTACGGAAGCTCTCAAGTGTTTACACACACACACAGAAAAATTTTTTTTATAAGTGTGAACGATGAGGAAATCAAAAAACAAAACAAAAACTTTTTTTTTTTCTTTTAACACTCTGTATACACACTTTCTAACACTTAAAAAAAAAAAACTATGACAAACTAATGGAAGCTAATTCGATAAAAAAACATTTTTTTTTTAAAAAAAAAACTTTTTCGATTGTTGGTATATCCATGTCAAAATTATTTCGTATAAAAAAAAAAAAAAAATAATCCTGCGGTAGGTGGGCCCCCCCAAATTCATAAATTTCATCGCGACAATTGACAGCTTCTCCTTTTTTTTTTTTTCTTTTAAATTTATTTTCTTTTTAGTTGAGGAACCAGAGGGTTTAAAAATTCTTCTTCTTCTTTATCGTCCGAACCGACCCGAAATTTTTTTTATTTAATTCTAATCATTAAATATTTATTTTTTTTCTAATTAATAAATTTTATTTTTAGTTAAACATAATCACGCGATATTAATTACAAATGGCGGACGAAAATAAATTTTTTTTTTTCTTCTGTGTGTGTATATAATTAAAAGAAGAGAGGGAGAGAAACAGAAAATTTAAAATTCCATTGTTTGATTTTCTCTCTGTCTTATTTAAAGTCAAAATTTGAGTTTTTTGTCACATTTCATACCATTTATTCAATTCCATTGATGTTCAATCCTTTTTTAAACATTTATAAAAGCCCCCAAAAAAATAACTATATAGAAAATTTTTAACTCCTTCTCCAAAAAAAAAAAAAAAAAATAAAGGAAAGTGACAGGTAGAAATCGAATAATATCTTTGACATCTTATCCAACACGTCGACAACAACAACTTATTTTTTAAACAGTATAGAAAAAAAAAAAAAATGTAGAACGCCCTTAATAATTTTCTTTCTTTCTCTCTTTCTCCCTCCCCCTCTTCCCCCCCCCAGTTCATTTAAAATCAACTTGAGTGTCAAAATTTTAGACGATATTTATAATTGATCTCAAGGACAGGCACTCGAAAAAAAAAAAAAAAAAAAGGAACGAGGTAGAGAGAAATAATATTATAAAGAAAACTTGTTCGACATGACTTATTAATGGCCATGTTCAGTCGCGTGATGATTCTACTTTGGCACATTCGATGACCACCCATTCACGTGCCTTTGTTACGCGTGGGAGATCTTCCATCGTTGACTTGACCCCCCCTCCCCATCTCCCCCGCGTACTCGTGAGACTCTTGAAAACCCGAAAATAATAACAACACTACTAACAGCAAGAAGTATTTTAAATAAATATCTGATACCTTAAAGTATCTAATCAAGACAAAAAAATTATTATAATATTTTAGCGTAATTTAATACGCCGACCATTTTTTTTTTAAACCCGTACGTCGTCGTCATTATTATCATTATTATTATTTTGTTTTTTTTTTATTTCCAGCATGTATCGATGGGCATGAGACAAGAATGCAAATGTCACGGTATGTCAGGGTCTTGTACAGTTAAAACTTGTTGGATGAGGCTACCCACTTTTCGTGAAATAGGAGATAGTTTAAAAGACAGATTCGACGGAGCATCAAGAGTCATGTTGAGCAATGCCGGAAGTATGAGATCATTGAATTCCGGTAGGAAAAAACGTAACAAATACAATTTACAATTGAAACCCTACGATCCGGATCACAAACCGCCGGGCACGAAAGATTTGGTTTATTTGGATCCCTCACCTGATTTTTGCGAAAGGAATCCCAAATTGGGGATACAGGGAACTCACGGTCGTCAGTGTAACGATACGAGCATAGGAGTCGATGGATGCGATTTAATGTGTTGCGGTAGGGGTCACAAAACCCAAGAAATGATGGTCACCGAAAGGTGTAGATGTACTTTTCATTGGTGTTGCGAAGTGAAGTGTGATTACTGCAGGACAAAGAAAACCGTTCATACATGTTTGTAATACTAATACCTTTCGTTAATTCCGAAAAAACCCCGTAACAAAAAAAAAAAAACCAACTACCGAAAAATAATAATAATAATAATAATAATAATAATGATAATAAATAAATAAACTTTGTAAATTCCTTTGGCAAACATTTCATTGGCTAATATTTACTCTTTTCGATAAAAAGATTTCCTTTTTTTTTTTTTTAATTCTATTATGTTGTTCACTTTTTAAACATTTTCTTTTGTAAACTTCCGCTAAAAAATATTTATTTACCAATTTTATTATTATTATTATCTTCTTTTTTTTCTCTTTCTCTCTCTCTCTTACTCTTTTCCAATAAATAATAATAATAATAATAATAAATAAATCAATAAATAAATTCCATCAATCATTCCAAATTAATCGAAAGATAAAAAATAAAATAATAAATTATTTATATTAATATGACGATAATGATAATAATAATTAAACTCGCGGAACGTTGTTATTATTATTATTATTATTTTTTCTTATGTGTGTGTGTGCGTGTATGTAATATAATTTTATGTACGTAATGGCAATATCATTATTAATTTGAATTCAAAGACTGATGATATTATTTATTACTTAATTTAATACTACAATTATATAAATTTATATATATATATATATATAAATATAAAAAATAAACATTTTTTTAAAACTTTTGTAAGCGTTGTATATATATAAAAAAAAAATATTTAAACGATAAGGATGATGATAATGATAATGATAATAATAATAGTAGTTTAATAATATTAATTAATGAATAAAATAAAATATCGATTATAAGTTATGATACTTGTATATATATTATATGAAATACAATCGAATATAATTTATTTATGTATTTATTTATTTTCCTTTATTTTTTTATTAATAAATAAAAAGTTAGAAAGGTTTTTTTAACGTACCTTCACCGGAAATTAATTAAAATTAATTAACTAAAAACGACCGGAAGTTTGTTTATTTTCGGGAATGAAGTAAGGAGATGTTACGCCGCGAGTTTAAAAAATCGTCTTAACGTAAATAAACGAAAAAAATTTTTTTTTTGGGGAGCGATATGTGAAAATTCTAGAAAACGAGTTACGAGAAAAAACCGGAAATGGTAGAAAATATTATTGTGGGTGGGCGGTAGCGGTGGGGTATCGTTAAAAAAAACCTTTTATCACAGCAAGTGGTAAACGTGAGTGAGTATTATTATTATTTTTTTTTTCGCTCATGTAAATATTTTCTTTTCGAGACAATCAACAACAACAACAACAACAACCACATGATACCAACTTGTAAAAGAAAAAAAAAAAAATAATGAAAAATTTCATCATCTCTTAAACGTAAATTTTTATTTTTTTTTTCATTTCGTTTTCGATCGTCCATCTTTTTTTTTTTTTTTTATCCCCGGAGTTAATATTAAGTGAAACACATATTTTTTAAAATCTTATGTTGTTGTTGTTGTTAATACAGGACATGACTTTTTAATTATTTTTCAATAGCAGACTACACAAAGAATATAATAATAATAATAATAATATAAGGCCACCCACCTGAATTTTCAACGTCATCATCATCATCATCGTGATCGATTTGAAAAATTAATTCAAAATGTTGGAAATGGTGTCACGTCTAAATGTTGTTATATTTAATCGATTTTATATTTTTATTTGTATATATATATATATATATATATATACGTTTGTTTGTTTGTTTGTTTGTTTGTTTCTTCCTTCGAGGGACGAGTTTTTCAAAACGAAAAGGTTAAGAAAATTAATTAGCATTTTTTTTTTTTTTTAATTTAAAGTTTGAGTTTTTTTTTTTTTTTATATAAAAGATATTAATAATTTATTAACGTCTCTACGTTTGTTGTCTTCTTTCATTCGTATACGAATTATATTCAATCGATCGATCGATCGATCGATTATTCAATAAACGATATATCGAATAAATATAAATTTACAAAAAGTAAGTTATTGATAAAAAAAAAAAAATTTTTCATTGGTTATTAATTAATCACACGCCTACCGTTCAATTTTCCACTTGTGTTATTGGTTGTACGCAACAAACAAACACGCGTACAAACAAACAAACGTGTCGTGTTATTCTAAGATTATCAACGTTGTCACCTGTCAGATAATCAATAACAAAAAAAAAATTTATCGATTTTATTATTGGTGACGTCAAATCAAAGGATCGTGACAAGTAAGGGTTGGTTGGTGGAAATCGGATTTTTTTTATTATTTCGCGACGTAATTTTAAAATAATTTATTTTTGACGACGCGTGACGATGACGGTCGATAATTTTTTATACGTATATCAAGTACGTAATGATTAATACGTCACGCGTGTGAAAAATTGATTTTTTTCTTTTACGGAACGCGCAAAAAAAAAAAACGTTTTAATTTTTTTTATTGTTAGGGTTGTCATAAATAGGGTTAATAAAAATATTATTACCGTGTTAAAATATATAAGGGTGAGAAGTTAGGGGGGAAGCAGAAGAAATAATAATAATAAAAAACTTTTTTAAAAAAATTATAACTTACCGTAATAATAATCGTTTGCGAATTTGTTGGTGAAAAAAAAAATTTATGAATTGCCCCCCATTTTATTAAAAATTTCTACGAATTTCTAATCGTCCATCTTTGTTTTTCTTTTAAACTAAGAATAGGGTAAAAAAAAAAAAAAATAAAAAATAAAATTTGACGTTTGTAGGTATTCATTTACATAAAAGGTGTTGATAATAACTCTTTTAGGTATGAATAAAAACTTAGGCGATACCGGAACCCGAATAAAAGGAAGAAAAAAAATTTTTTTTTAAAAAAGAATTGTTAAAAGAATAAAAATAACGTAATAAATAAACAAAAAGGTATTAATTTTCGAACAAAATAAAATAAAAAATTAAAACAATGAGAGAGAGAGAGAGAGAGAGAGAGATCGGTTGCCACTTTTCAGGTAAAACCGTGTTTTGAATAAATTCATTCGGACAAAAATTAAATTCTCTTCTTTTTTTTTTTTTGTTCATTTGAGGTAATTAAACAGTTGAGAAAAAGCGTAGCACCGGACTAAGACCACCCAGACCATCCACATGGGGGGGCAGTCGGATTGGACCAGACCTGCGCCTCGGGTATGCATCCACCTAGACAGGCCCACCTTTGCCCCTCATTTTTCTTATACTGTTGTATTAATAAGTGCAATGAATTTTTCTTTTTTTTTTTTTTTTTAAATGCTATATAAATATGCTTTAGTTAAAATTTAAAAAAATTTTCTTTTTTTTTGTTCTGGAAATAATTTTTTAATTTTTTATTGTCGCATTTTTATTTCAATGTGTACAATTTTGAAAAAAAAAAAAAAAATAGAAAAATCACAACGTAAAAAATAATTTACAACGTTTTAATTAATAAAAACTAGACTTTCACAGCCTGATAAGGCAATCGATCGATCAATTAAAGGCTTTATAAAGAGATTTTTTTTTTCATACTACATCCGTTTCCGTTTTCGGTAAGTAGTTTCAAAAGAGAGAGAAAGCGTGAGTTAATAATTAATTAATTAATGGCATGTGTGAATTGTACGCTTTTGATTACACGTATTACACGTAACTTCACAACACCATCGAAATCTACAATCGCAATTAACTTTTTCCCTTATTAATTTCGTATCGAAACCTCTTCCGCAACATAAAAGCTCGCAACCGTCAACGCCGGGGGAAGTGACGTTACATATCCTTCCAACGGTTCCGAGCGATCCGCTTTTCCTATTAAATTTACAATAATCCGGTGAATCTTGGGAATAAACGAGATCTCCTCTGTTGGGTGGTTTTATTGTCGTGCCATAAGGTATAAAATTTTTACCATCGTTGCTAGGTATGACTTTTGATGCTCCGTCGAATTTTTCTTTCAAACGATTGCCAACTTCACGAAACGTCGGCATTTTTTTCCAACAAGTTCTTAGAGTGCATGAACCGGAGAGACCGTGACATTTGCAATCCGTGTGCATGTAATTTTTCACCGCCTGACATTCAAAATTATTTTTTTTAATAAAACAAACAAACCAATCAACCCCCTCCCCCCGCTCCCTCCCCTCCCCCCAAAATAAATAAAATCCGTTCAATAATAATAATAATAATGATAAAATAAAAATTTCAGAATTACCAACCAATCTTCCAGCTCCGTTATTATGTAGTCTTATCAATGCTTTCATATCGCTTTTTTTCCTTCTTTTATATGGGAAATTCATAAAAATTTTTGATTTTTTAAAACCGAAATTAACGTTATCACCGCATCCTCCCCACTCCCACTCCGTATTTCCTAACGCTAAATTTGTTTTATCAAATCTTTTTCTATTTATACGACGGATCCCTAAAAAAAATTTTTTTAATAAAATAATAAAAAAAAAAACCTACCGTTTATTTTTGTAAAAAAAAATTATATTCCTGTTGTTACCTTTAAAGGATGACTTATCACAGGTACATTCCATTAAGGTTCCCATTGTGCAAGCTCTCGTTACAGCAAATGTAACACCGGCTGCCGTAACGGCATTTACAAAACCAGCTTCTCTCGTATCTGAAAATTAAACTACCCCGGTAAAAAATCATAATTAATTTATATAGAAAAAAATATTATTATTATTATTATTATTATTATTATTATCGTCTGCTATTTTTATTAATATATATTAAAAAAAAAGTTCACACGGTTAAAATCGGTTTAGCGGTTTATTCACGGTTATAATAATAATAATACAGTTGTTGGAATTTTCTTTAAGATTATGTGAGAACATATCATGGCTTCTTTTTTTTTTTGATGCAGGTTCACATTTAAGGTTGATAATAATATGATAATAGAGACGTTAAGAATGTTGAAATCAGGTTGAAAGTGTAAATCCTAGAGAATGACATGGAATGTCACCGACGAGCAAGTCGACGACGACGACGACGACAACGACGACAACGACGACTCCCTGTCAAATCGTCGCTTCAGATCCCAATGTTACCTTCATAATTTTTCCCAATTTAAAAACCTGATTTTTGTCTTCTCTCTCTCTCTCTTTTTTTTGTAGTTGTTGTTGTGTTTGTTGTCGTTGTTTGTAGTTTTTTTTTTGAGAGAGAGAGAGAGAGAGAGAGAGAGAGAAAGATTCATGATTTCTCATCCGATTAAAAATTTTTTTTTTTTTATAGTTTTGTCGTGAGTGTCGATGTTATTATTATTATTATTATTACAAAACCATTGTTTTTTTTTTTGTCAACATTCTAGAATTTTCCCGGCACTTTTTCTAAATTTTCCAAATAAAAAAAATTTTTAACGCGAAAATTTTTTTCTACTCCTTAAAAATCAAAAAAAAATTAAATAAAAACAAAAAATCGGTTAAACATAAAAAAAAAAAAAATTTATTGGCCAATGTTTTTATTATAATAATAATAATAATAATAATTAAAAACGAGTTTTTTTTTAAACAAAAAAAAAAAACCTAAACATAATTAAACGTTAATTAACATTTATTATCATTTCAAAATTTGTTGTTGTTAAATAAATACCTGATAATAACAAAAAAAAAAAAAAAATTAATTAATAACTCGAGTCGAAAAATAAAGAAAAAATTATTATTTTAATTATAATATTAAATTTTTTTTTATATTTTTTATTATTATTGATATTAATTAATTAATTAATTAATTTGTACCGGGTGAAAAATAAAAAAAAAAGTTACCGTTACCCATTAAAAAAAAAAAAAAAAATTGATGCGAATATTTAAACTCGTTGTTCACTTATGGACCGACAGATGTGACGTCACAACTGATAACATCTAACCTCGATTTTAAATATATAAGATATAAAAATTAAATATGTATAATAATAATAATAATAAAACATAATAATTTCTTTTTTTTTTATTAATAATAATAATATTTGACAAATGTTTAAGGTAATAAAACAATTTTAGTTTTTTCTTAACGGTGGGAACGTGGGTAGGGGTGGGGGAACGTGAGGGGAGGTAGTAACTGGGTCGGAAAAAATAAAAAAAAAATTTTTTTTACGTCGTGACATTTATTATCAACCCCCACCACCACCATCATTTTGATATCTTTTAAAAAAATCTACGTAATAATTATAAATTTATTTATTTAATTTTTTTATTAATTAATTTATTGTTATTTATGTATTAATAAATTTAATTGTAAGAATTTAAAGTAAAATAAAATAAAATGAAAATTTTTTTTTTATTTTTCTTTCCATTATAAAATTTATCATTCATTAATATTTTTAACATTTTATTATTATTATTATTAAATTTTTTTAAATAACCGAAGTCATTAAAAAAAAGAGAGAGAGAGAGAGAGAGAGAGGGGGGGAGAAGGGAAGAATAAGAAATAATTTTTTTATTATTTTTATTAAATTTACTAATTAATAAACATTTCCGTAGTATGCTAGTTCAATTGTATGTGTTCTCGTGCTTTTTGGGGGGTTTTCACATTATTATTATTATTATTATTATTATTATTATTATTATTATTATTATTATTATTATTATTATTATTATCATTTTAAAGTGTTTCTCTGTCGGTTTTGTTGTGAAAAAAATTTTTTTTTTTTTTATTCACGCAGGTGTACGAGAAAATTTCAACGTCCATCAAACGTCTTACTTTCGAAAAAAAAAAATTAAAAATTAATTAAATTAATGTTTTTAATTACAAACATTTCTAAATTTCCGACCGTATTGTTTTATTCCGGGGGGATGGGGGGTGAAGTGTGGTAGAGTGAGGGGAAGATGTAAATTGGTAGAAATTTCGATCGGTCGCGTAATGGTAAAATTGTTGGTTGACGGTTGTTACGTTTCGTTTTTCTTTTTAAATTTTTATTTAGAAAAACAAAAAATAATAATAATAATAATAACTTACCTCTCATGAGAACCTTTTTCAGACTTTTATTAACGGTCGTGCAATTCCACCGCCTGTTTCTAAACTGATATTGACATTCTTTGGTTCCTATTTCGACTCCTTTTGCAATTTCTGTTAAAAGAGCTTTATCTTGACAAATGGCTCCCATTTGACCTTTGAATCTTTTACTTTTTCTACATACAAGTTCCGGATTTGTTATCACTTGACTTCCGACCGCCCTTTAAATAATTATTAAAAATAAAAAAATTAAATTAATAATGATGATAAAATTCTCCGGATGAACGTAGATAGAGAGCGAGTGAGAGACAAAGAGAGAGAGAGAAAAAAGAAAAATTTTTCGGTTCAGTGATGTTACAAAAACACACGCCTGCCTTTAGCGGGACTTTACGAAATGGATTGACGACATTAAAGACAAACAAAATCACTTCGACAAACAAATAACCGAAGAACAATTATTTACACAAGAGAGTATATATATATATAGGTTTTGGTTGTATTATTATTATTATTATTATTGTTTTTAGAACATCCGCTGTTGTCTGTCTCTATTTATTTTATTTCTTTACTTCCAGATAAAGATTCTATGACATATTATTTGATTTTTTCATTTAAAACTTCCGAAATTAATAAAAAAAAAAAAAAAAAAAAAAAAAAGGGAAATGGGAAGCGCGAACGGAGGAAAGATAACGGGTGTCAATATGTGACCAAGGAGGGGAAAAATATTCCAACAAACAAAAAAAAAAACTCATTGAAACAAGAACAACGACAACAACAACAACCACCACGATGACGATGATGATGACGACAACAAGAATTAAAAAAAAAAAAAGAAAATTTATTATTTACATTATTATACTACTTTATTAAATACACGAGTACCTTATGTACCACATTATTATTATTATTATTATGTATTATCATCATTATCATTATCATTATTAATATTTATTATTTATTAACATAATAATTTACTTTATTTGATGAGTGAAAGGTAAAAATTTTTCCCAAAGATGGCAAATTTTTTTTTTTTTTTATTTACCTTTCATTTTTATTAATATTATTATTATTCTTTTTTATTTATTTAAATAAATAAAATTTTTAAACGAATGATCTTCATTATAAATATTTAATAATAATAATAATAATAATATTCAATTTAACAGTAAAATAATTTGACGTGAGAGAGAGAGAGAGAGAGAGAGAGAGACACAACAAGTTTTTCAACCGACAAAATGAAATCAAACTTATTTAACAGTTAATAATAAAACGAATTTTATCGAAAAAAAAAAAAATTTAAATGACGTCTGATGCGTGACGTCATCAAAATAAATCCTTCGAAATAATAATATAACAGATCAACAGAAATCCGTTTAACCATCAAAATAATAATAATAATAATAATAAAATTATATTTTTAACGCCGCAATAAAAAATTTTTTCAATGATTACATGAATTTATATAATTATTACCACCACCGCCTTCACCGCCACCATTTAATAATAATAATAATAAAAATAATTTTTTAATAGTTTTTAGTTATTAAGATGAAAAAAAAAAAAAAATGGCGTAATGTTAAACGCATTTTACGCGTAACATTGCGTAATTCGAGCAAAAAAAAAAAAAAAAATTTTTTTCAAACATGAAATTAAAAAAGAATTAAAAAAAATTATTTTTAATTTTTGGTCGTAAACGAAAACTATAAAAATATATTTATATTTATATATATATATATAGTTTTTCCACTCGATAAATAATTTCAACCGTGATAATTATTATTATCATTATTATTATCATTACTATTATTATTATTATTTTCTCTCTTCTTCTTTTTTTATACCTTTCCTCTTTAAATTTTTTTTTTCTCAAAGATTTTTTTTTCATAAAGTAATCCTTGAATTTTTTTTTTTTACTTAAACTCCACGCATGTAAACGGACTCGAAACATAATAATAATAATAATTATTAAATAAATAAATAAATAATAATTATTATTATTATTCTTATTTTCATTTATTAAAATCATACCGATTACGTCATCACAGTATTATTAATTTTTTTTTTTTGCGTGTTCAAATAATAAATCCGCGCGGTTTTCACGTTCAAATTAATATCAAAATTAATATTAAGTCGTCTATTAATAATTTTCTCCTCCCTTCCCTCCCCTCCCCCCTTTTTAAATGAACTTTATGTATATTTATCATTATTATTATGATTACGAAATGAAATTTATTTATACGGTATTAATAAAAAAATTACATTTAATTAAGAATTAAATAAATTATATTACATAACATAAAGCAAAAAAAAAAAAAAAAACGCCATAAATTTTATTCGTACGAACATAAAAAAAAAAAAAATCCATTGTTTATTAAAGTTTATAAATCATAATTAATAATCCATTAAAATAATTTATCGGTATTTAATAAAATATATATATTAATAATAATAATAATAATAATAATAATAATAATAATAATAATAATAATATTAATAATAATAATACGGTTTTTATGATCATGTTAAATTTTAGCAGAAAGAGAGAGAGAGAAAAAAGTTACGCAAAATATTATTTTTTTTATATAAATATTTGATTAGCGACGGGGAAAAATTAAATAATAATAATAATATTAAGGCGTGGGAAAACGCGCGTACATATAAAATATTTGGTTTATTTATATTGTAATGATATTTAAAAAAAAAAACGCGCGTTTTCGATCTTGTTTCACTTTTCTCCCTGACCCCGGCCGGATTCTGCGTTCGAAATCTTTTTTTTTTTTCTCCATCTTTCTACTTTCACCGGTTGTTGCGTGGGTTACATTTTATAACGGTAAAAGGGTACGCGCACACGAGCACACACAGAGAGAGAAAAAGAGATAGAGAGGGAGAGATGGTTTATAAGTAAAGGAACGCACACACAAACATTATAATAATATTGAATATTTTTGGGTGCGCTTTTAATAAGTTTCCTCAACAAATAGTGTCAATTACACATTTTTTTTTTTTTTTTAAATGATGTGATAATTGTCGAGTTAGCACCTGAGGTTTAAAAAAAATTAGGAAGACTAATGTGATGGTGACCCACCATTGTAAATATATACATTTTGCCGTTCCATATGGTTGCTTTAAAACAAATAATTCTTTGTTGTTGTTGTTGTTGTTGTTACTTCTTAAAGTTAACGATCAATAACTAAAGTTTATTTAATGTAACACCTAAAATATTTTTAATGGATTTATTAATAATAGAATTTAATTTAAATCCTTTGACGGGCGGACGACCCACCGGCCGGCCGGTCATTTTTTTTTTAAAAGGTTTTACCAAAAACCATCGTCCGCCATTTTAATTCTTATTACATGCGTGCGCGACAATACGATCACGAAATATATGTTATCGAAAGTAATAAAAAAAAAAAAAAAACATAATGATAATATATACACGATAAATAAATAAGATTTGTTATTAAATACAAAAAATGTTAGGAAATATAAATAAAAAAACACACACACACACACACGACCACGAGGGAGGTGGGGAGGGAGGGGAGGGGAGGGGGTTACGCCGCAGCAGGTTCACCCACCCTAACCGCATATTTATTTATTTAATTGATTGTAAAAATAAAAAATTAACTTGCTACCTTCTTTTTTATTTTATTTGATTTGACCGCTCGACAATTCTTTTAGACTATATAATAATTAAACAACCAAACAAAAACAACCCTCCCTCGCGACTGTTGTTCGTATATACACTCTCGTAGTTTTTAAAAAAACAAAATTTTATTAGAAATAAATTTTTAATGCTCTATAAAATAATCAAAAAGAAAGAGAAAGAGATGAAGAAATGGAAGAGGAAGATGAAGGGGAAAAGAAGAAGAAGATGGTACAACAACAACAACAACAATAACAAATCCATTAACACCTTCGAAAATTCAATTTTATTAAAAAAAAAAAAAACAGAAGAATGGGGGGAGAGGGGGGAGGGATTTGAAAATAAAAAAAAAAATTTCGATCGGTCACTCAATTTTATGATATCACCATCGCCATCGCCGTAGTAGCCATTGCAAACGACTCCCACTTTTTTTTTTTTTTTATATCAATCACCTTTTTCCCTTCTTTTACACGCACTCGCACGCACGCACACGCACAAACATTAACAATTTTAAAATTTATAAACAATTTATATTTTAAAAAAGTTTGATGGGTTCCAATAGCATGCATGGGTAATAATAATACGACATCTTTTATTATTGCTGATGATTGAGTGAAATGATTGAAAAGAATTGAATACAATGTTTGGAAAACTTCTATCAAAATATTTATATTAAAACGGGGGATTCAAAAAGTAATAAAAAAAAAAAAAAAAAGAAAAAAAAAATGGATAACGTAAATCTGTGACGATGTGACGATTGATGGAATCCATGGCATCATCATTTTAACGTTTTTGTTTTGTTTTGTTTTCTTACATCAATTAAAACTGTTTACTAATATATACAGGTAAGTTAAAAATAATAAAATTCATTTTGAATAAGGAAACAAAAATTTATGACGTCATTGTTTTTCACTTTAAATATTGTCAGACAAACAATAAACGACGCTCGTACCTTAAAAATCCGCCATTTTTTATAATCCCCTGCCTTCCGGCTTTCGCTCTAGTTCTTTTCGAGCAATTTTTCTAATTTAAATTAAAATCATTATTATTATTATTATTAATATTTAACATGGCGTGATTTTGTCTTCCGTCGGTTAAATTTTTTGTTTTGTTTTTTCCAGACCGACACAAAAAAATCGGGTGCGGCGTTTAAGTCGACCTTAAAACCTAATTTTTTTTTTTTTTTTTTAAACAAATATAAAAAATTACATTTTATCGTTTACGTAAAAATAAATAAATTAAAAAAAATTTTTTTTTTTTGAAAAAAAGTAAAAGTAACTTTTTTTTTTTTTTTTGTTCTTAGTCATCCGACATTTTTAAATGGGGGGAATGGGGGAATGGGAGGGTTAGGGGCAAAGACGAGAGAAAGAGAACAAAAACTAAAAAAAAAAAAAAAAAACGTGAGAAACGAGGACGGTGGCATATTTTTTTTTTTTTTTTTACCACCTTTTTTCTTTTAACCTTCCTCATTATTATTATTATTATTTTATTACCTTTTAAACTCG